TGTATGGAAACCAATTTGACAATAAATTTCATATATAAAAAATATAAAAAATAAAAAATAAAATACAAACAGGAAAAAAAAATAAAAAAAATAAGATACTGTTGACGAGGTTCAAGGGAAATGGACACTTTTTATCTGGCTGAGTTATAATTTGTTAGAACCTTTCTGAAAGGTGATTTGACAGTAAATTGTCAAAAGCTTTAGACTTTATTTGGATAATCTTTTACCTGAATTTTCTTGTTTTCTAACAACAAATGTCAGTTTTTAATGTGACAAGAAAATCGCAACCACTAGATTGAATGCAGAGTAAGAGAGAAGGAGATTCTGGGAGTTATGGAGGTTCCCATTGAGGGCATTAGGGATAGTGAAAATTTTGCCTTAGGAAAACATTTTAGTAAAAATTGTCCATCCTGTCAAGGTTTGGGGAACAGTGAAGAAGAAGTTAGCTTTCCCAGCAAAGAGCAAGGAAATGTTTATGTTCCCACTCCCGTGTAGAAAAAAGGAGACTTCATATTTTCCTGTGTATTCTTCATTTAACCCTCTCATTCTGTTTTTCTGTCTTGATCTCTGTTCTACACACTTAGTTTTCCAGGGCATCATACACCAGTTTAGTTGTGTAAGTAGGCTCAATTAATACCATTGTCTTTTTAATGTGTTTTTAGCTGGGTATATGGAGACTTTTAAAACCTAAGTAGTGTATCTCATATCTTTGTAACCCCAAAGCCCATTTTAGATGTTACTGTGCTGCAGTGGGTGGAAAATCCTGGACCATGTGTCATCTGTGTTCCTTCCTGGTAATACGGTAACTTGCCGGTAAACAGTACTCTCGGGAAAAATTGTGACCTGATTATGTTTTCACCCAGTAACAGCCAGAAAAAAGATGAAAAATTTTTCTTTTTTCTCTGTTAATTTAATCTGTTGTATGTCTTGAATTGACAGACCAACTTCTTTGGCATGGGAAGTAAAGAAGATGTCTCCAGGACGTCATGTGATTCCAAGTCCATCAACAGATAGAATAAGTGTAACATCAAATGCTCGAAGAAGTTTAAATTTTGGGTGAGACAAACTCAAAAAAGCCTACTAAGGCTTACATTATAGTAAATTATTTTCTGTGAATAATACAGTATTATACAACTGATATTTCACTTAAAAAAATCCATGTATATGTTTGTGTATATGTTTGAAATTGTTTGAATCAAAAGTTTAAAAAATCCAGTAAAGTTTAACTTTTCGAAGATTTTATAAAATGTAATATATTCAAATAGGATCCAAAAATTAAAACTCATAAACATATTTCATGCTAAATGATTCATAACATGAACTGGCAATTTCTTTATAACAAAAGATCTAAATGTATATCATAAGCTATGTTACTGTCATGAAATTACATCTTTATGCATTGTAATCCCATCAGTGCAGTTTTATAATTGTTATTTTATGCAGTTATATTTTAAATCAATAGAAGAAAAGTTATAAAGAAAAAAGACATTTATATATTTTTTTGTATTTATTACCTATGTAGTTACTTTTGTTAATGCTCTTTATATCTTAATGTGGATTCAGGTTACTGTCTATTTTTCTTTCATTTTGGCCTGAAGGATCCCCTTTAGTATGTCTTGTTGGGCAGTTTTTCTCAGTTTTTATTTTGAAACTATCTTCATTTGTCCTTTAGTTTTAGAAGGATAGTTTTGTAGTGCATAGAATTCTTGGTTGAAAGTCTTTTTCTTTCAGGACTTTGAATATGTTCTTTGATAGTGTCTTCTATGTCAATATATTGACAAATTAATGTACATTTATATTATTAAAAGATAAGAGTTTCAAAATAAAATATTTAACTTATATATGTATATTTTTTAAAGGTCCCCATTTAACTGAAATTTTCTTTTAAACTGAATTAATGAGAGCTTTTATATCATCCCTGTTCCCATACAATATATTATATTAAATTAATGAAGTATTAGACCAACATAAATTTTTAAATATATTTGACTTAAATTGTTATTGTATGGTACTCTGTATATGTGGATACACACACACACACACACACACACACACACACACA